GGACTAGGTAGTGCAGACTGCCAATGATGCTCCGGTAGAGTGTTGCATCTACCTTCACCGCAGTACTAGCCTTCGTCAGCTTCAGTCGCTCCTCCATCAGAGTCACGCATGGCTTACACTCAGCCATGCCGCTTCGCTCCAACAGCTTAGAGGCGTACATGCTCTGACCGAGCGTGAGCGCCTCCTTCCCTTGTCTCACCTCAATGCCGAGGTAGTAGGAGAGCATGCCGAGATCGCTCATTAAAAAATGAGCCACCATCTCGCGCTTGAAGCTATCGATGTCCTCCGTATGCGCGCCGGTGATGATCAAGTCATCCACATACACGCCGACGATGAGCTCCACCTTCCCCATCGCTGCGTGTAGAGCATGTGCTCGGTTGCACACCGTGTGAACCTAAGCTCGCCCAGCGTGGCGTCAAGCTTGGTGTTCCACGCTCACGGGGCCTGCCGTAGCCTGTAGAGCGTCTTGCGCAGTCAGAGCACCCTGTGCTCTGCTCCCTTTACGACGAAACCCGAAGGTTGCCTGACGAAGACCGTCTCTGCCAGCTCGCCGTTGAGGAAGGCCGATTTTACGTCCAGGTGAGGGACGCGCCAGTCCTTTGCTTCTGCCAAAGCCAGAAGCAGTCGGACAGACTCCATGCGTGCTACCAGCGTAAAGACTTCCTCGAAGTCGATGCCCTCGCGCTGGACAAAGCCTCGGGCGACGAGGCATGCCTTGTGCTTGGCGCCTTGCTAGTCCCGCTTGACCTTGTACACCCACTTCAGGCCGATCGGACGGCATCTTAGAGGTGGATCAATGAGCTCCCAAGTCTCATTTTCCTTGATCGCCTTCATTTGCTCTAGCATCGCCCATCGCCAGATTGCATCATGCTCGGCTAGCACAAATGTGGGTGGTTCCTCTGCACTGATGAGAAGCAACTCTAGGTCATTGAGCAGCCGACCCGCCAGGCCTGAAGGCCCTGTGTCGCCGACGATGTCGTCCCGCCTGTGGAACCGCACCTCCTCACCGTCGTGGAAGGCATCCACGAACTCAGTGATGTCGCTTGGAGGTGAGGTGAACTCGATCGACGTCGATGGAGTTCCCTGTTACGCCGGAGTATTCTGCACGGCACCTAAAGTGCTCGGCACCCCAACTGCAGTGCTCGACACTACTCTTGGACCGATTGTCACCACTCCTGGAGTGTTCGGTACCACTGCAGGACTGCTCAGCCCTAGTCTCGTGGTCGGCACCACTGCAAGATTTCTTGACTCTGCTACGAGAGTGTTCGGCACCTGTCCTAGAGTGGTCGACACCACTACAGGACCTCTCGGCATCACTCCTGGAGTGCTCCGCACCCCTTTCGGAGTGCTCGACACCGCCCCAGGAGTGCTCGGCTCTCTTGCTGGAGTGGTCGGCACCTCCTCTCCAGCATCTCCACCACCGTGGATGACCAAGTGCTCGATGACGAAGGTGATGGTGAAGCCGCCAGCTTCCCCCATGCCCGGGCTGTTCCAGTCCTAGGCCGCCTTCTCGTCTAACACGACGTCGCGCGAGATAAGCACCTTGCCTCCACGTGGGTTGTAGAGCTGGTACACCTTGGTACCTTCCGCGTAGCCCAGGAGCACCATCGGTGTGCTCCTATCCTCTAGCTTGGTGAGGACTGGCTTTGTCTTCCTAACGTGGCCGATGCAGCCGAATGTCCAGAGGAAGGACACGCTCGGCTTACACCCATACCAAGCTTCGAACGACGTCTTGCCCTTCAGGGCCTTGGTGGGCGCGTGGTTGAGGATGAACACTGTCGTGGTCACCACCTTACCCCAGAACCTCGCCGGCATGCTCTTGGCCTTAATCATGGATCGAGCCATGCCGACCACCATCTGGTTCCACCGCTCCACCATGCCATTCTGCTGTGGCGAGTACAACGTGGTGTGGTGTCGCATCACACCCTGATCCACGCAGTACGCAGTGAACTCCACCGAAGTGAATTCGCCGCCGCGATCAATCCTCAGCACGCACAGCTTTTTGCCGCTCTCCGCCTCTACGCGCGCCTTGAACTTCTTGACCGCCTCCGCCGCCTCATCCTTACTTGTCAGGAGTTGCAACCACATATAGCGACTGCAATCATCCATGAGCAAGAGGAAGTACCGCTGACCACCGTTTGTGGCTGGCGTGATTGGCCCGCAGAGATCGCTGTGGACAAGCTAGAGAGCGTCCACCGCACGATACTTGGCTTCCTTTGGGAACGGCAACCTCATCTGCTTCCCGGCCAAGCAGCTGTCACATAGCTTTCCTGCGTGCTTGATGCGGGGCAGCCCTCGGACCATCTTGTCTAGCCGATCGAGTGCGTCAAAGCTAAGATGACCAAATCGGGCATGCCACAGCCACGGCTCCTCGGTGTGTCGTGCTGCCAGGCAAACCGGCTGCTCCACCTTCAAGTCGAGCAGGTACACTCGATTACGTGAGCGTTTTACCTTCGTGAGAAGACGCCGCTCCCGATCCTGAATCCTCAGGATCCCGCTCTCGATCAGTACCTCGCATCCGCGCTCGTCCAGTTGTCCAATGCTGATGATGCTTGAACGCAGCTGTGGGATGTAGTACACATCCATCAACGCGTGATGCTCACCATTCTGGCACCTGAAGATGATGGTGCCACGCCCTCGGATTGCCAACCTTGAGCCGTCACCAAACTTCACCGTGCCGGTTACGTCGTCGTCGAGCTCGAAGAAAGCTTCCTTGGAGCCTGTCATGTGGTTGCTAGCGCCGGAGTCCAGGTACCACCGCTGCTCCTGTTCGCCGCCCACACGTCTGAGGTGGACTTGGGCGCGTGGTTTGTCGAGGTGGACAACCTTCAGAGCCTTGCCAGGCCCTTCCACTGCCATCCCCTCTCCCTTCTCCTTGGCCTCAACGTCGTGCAGTGCACATAACGTCGCCATCAGGAGAGTGACCTCATCATCATCATCAGCCTTCGCCAGATGAGCCTCAGCCTTCTTCTCCTGCTTGTGATTTGGGCACTCCTTTGCCCAATGGCCCGTCTTCCCACAGCGCCGACAGGCGTTGGGGTCGACCTTCTTCTTCTCCGAAGAAGCCTTGCCGCGTGAAAGCTCTTGTTTGGTTTTGGTAAATTGATGAAATCCTAAGTGCTAACCTAGTTTATCAAAGTGATTATGAGATAGGTGGCATATTTCAAGTGGTGAAGCAAATGAAGATCATGACATGATGACGATGGTGATGGCGTGATGATGATCACATGCTTGGACTTGGAAAAGAGTAAAGAAAAACAAAAAGCTCAAGGCAAAGGTGAAATTGATAGGAGTTTTTCGGTTTAGTGATCGAGACACTTAGAGAGTGATCATATTTAGGATCGATAGCCGTACTATTAAGAGGGGTGAAACTCGTATCGAAATGCGGTTATCAAAGTGCCACTAGATGCTCTAACTCATTGCATATGTATTTAGGATCTAGTGGAGTGCTAAAACCCTTGAAAATATTTGTGAAAATATGCTAACACACATGCACAAAGGTGATACACATTATGTTTAGCACTTGGGAGCAAGGGTAAGAAACTTCACCAGCGGAGTGTCCGCTCGTAGAGTGCGGATAGTCCGACGGTGCCACCAGCGCCCTGTACAGAAAAGATAGGATTTCATAGAGTGACCGGACGCTGGGGTCCTGCGTCCGGTCAGTGGCGCAGTGAAGGCCGCCCTCGGTCTCTTGACCGGACGTAGGCGACCGGACGTAGGCTGAACACTGTTCAGCGTCCGGTCGTGCTGATGTGGCAGCGCACAGTGTAGACAGTGAGTGACCGGACGCTGGGTGAGTCCGGTCAGGCATGACTGAATGCATCCGATCGTGAGTGGAACCTTACTGGAAACAACCGGACGCTGGGGTCCTACGTCCGGTCACTTCGTAGCAGCGCGTCCGATCACAACTTAAATGTACTGATGACCGTTGAGATCGGGCGATCGGCGTTTGAAGCATGGGCCATGTGGCGTGCATCCCGATTTTCAGTAGACTGAGGATCCAACGGCTCTATTTCATGAGGGCTTATATTTAAGCCCCATGGCCGGCTCAAGGTCACTCGCTTGGCCATTTGCATTGACATAGCATCCTTGTGAGCTTAGCCAAAGCCCTCCCACTCATGTTCATCATTGAGTCATCATCTTTGTGAGATTGGGAGAGAATCCAAGTGCATTGCTTGAGTGATTGAATCTAGAGGCACTTGATGCTTGTGTTTCGCCGTGGGATTCACTTGTTTCTCTTAGTGGTTGCTGCCACCTAGATGGCTTAGAACAGCGAGAATCGTCGAGCGGAGGTTGGTGATTGTCTCCAGCTCCGATCACGGTGATTATGAGGGGTTTTGTACCTTCCCCGACGGAGCGTCGAAAGCTAACTCTAGTGGATTGCTCGTGTCATTGAGTTACCTTACTTGTGGATAGATTCTTGCGGTGTCCAATTGTGTGGACGAGGTTCATGCAACACCTCTTAGCCGCCGAACCACCAAGTGTTGGTCGACACAACGGAGACTAGCGTGCGGCAAGCACGTGAACCTCGAGAGAAAAATTAGTTGTCTCCAGTAGCAAACTATATATACAACTCTACCCATCTAATCCTAGTACACATACATATCAGGCTGCCATGCTGTTACAGTGACTAGATGTGACAGCAGGGCTGACTTTGGCCCCTGCTCCTGCTGTGGCTACAGTGGTTCTCCTGCCTCTGCAGCTGCTACAGTGCAACAGCAGGGATCCCTTTTCGACGCCGCCTGTCCCTGCCATGCGTTCACACAAGGAGAGCATCATATTCCTTAACAACAATTTCAGATACATATGCTGTACTTGACTTAACTTGTAACACAGTTGTATGAAAGGTCACTCAACCCTTGGGATGTGAGGTGTTTATTTTTCTCCGGTTATTCTTTACTGCAGCTGAAAGGCGATGCATTACCCTTGCAACACAGTTGTTCCTGTTCGATATGGTTGTACAAAGCGCTGAAATCTGCGGAGGAAGTACATGATCACCTCTAGCGCCCCTCCAGTGTTCCGAGGCTCAAATCACTTACGTAGCTTTGTCCTGCTCCTGCTCCACCAGTTTCAGAATGCCTCCTTGCAAAGTATACAGGCTCCCTAGGCTGTGGGAGCTCTATGCCTTCGTTATCGAGGCTCGAGACCACCCATGGCATTAGTGGACGAGCATTTGGGTTGTCTTGCACCAACAGGAGTCCGATGTGGATACATCGTAGACTTTCGCCAAGTGAACAGCTCTCAACAATCGATGGATCAACCAAGTTCCGCATGTTTCCATCCTTCCATAATCTCCATGCCTGAGTCAATGATCACGTCAATGTTTGCATTTCATATGGGTCAAGTTTTAACTTTTGAGAACCTGAAAGTACTTACGTAAGCTATAAGGTTGGATGAGCCTGTGACTGGGCCTGTCGAGCTGACCTTTGAGCCACTCACAATCTCCAGAAGCATGACACCAAAGCTATAAACATCAGATTTGACAGAAATGATGTGTCTCACTAGTGAGATTGTGCCGATCTGTAACATTTAAACTCATGCCTTCTTAATGAAATACGGCTAAACCCCGCTCGCGAAAAAAAAAGATTTGACAGAAATGATGCCTTCCAATGCATATTCTGGTGCCATGTAGCCACTTTTTGGAAGATGAGCACACATCACAATTTTAACTAATTAGTTCAAGAACAATGGTGTGTTGCTTCAAAATTACTTCACGTATGAAATCACTCACAATGTTCCAACGACCCGACTGGTACTTGATTGTTGTTCGTTGACACTGAAACTCCTGGCTACACCAAAGTCAGATATTTTGGGGTTCATTTCAGCATCCAACAACACATTGCCTGCTTTGAGATCTCTATGAATTACTGTCAATCTTGAATCTTGGTGGAGATAAACAAGGCCTCTAGCTACACCTTTGATTATCATGAATCTTGTGGGCCAATCAAGCAGTGATTTTCTTGCAGCACCTGTCAAGGGTAGAATCAAATGAAGTTCTTATCAGTGGTACATGTTTCTTTCATCAAATGTTGAGCTTTTGCAAGAAGTGAACGTACTGAACAGGAAGACATCCAAACTTTTGTTAGGAAGGTATTCGGAAATGAATAGTTTTTCATTTGCATGAATGCAGTGACCTAGAAGTTTAACTAAGTTTCTGTGCTGCAACCTGGCAATCAGAGCTACTTCATTTTTGAATTCTACTGCCCCTTGGGCAGAACCTTTGCAAAGCCTTTTCATAGAGATTTCCTTATCTCCCAATGTCCCCTGAATAATTGAAGGCAACATATCAGATGCAAACCAACCAACCTGTGCAAACTTGGAAACTATCAATCAGGACCACTAGATGCTGATCCAATGGATGGGGTGAGGGGGCTTAAGCGCAAAAAAAAAAAAGGCCAGTGGGTGGGGGGCTTAAGCGCAAAAAAATCCCACCTCTCACCCCATGCATTGGATTAGCATCTAATGGTCCTGATTGGTAGTTTCCAAGTTTGCACATGTTAGTTGGTTTGCAACTGATACGTTGCCATAAATGAAAGGTTCTGGAATGTTAGAAATTACACTCCAACCACCGAAGGTTACCAGCACAAGCCTTGCTTACCTTGTAAACAGTACCAAATCCTCCTTGTCCAAGTATGGTGGAATCAGCAAAATTATTTGTTGCAGTGGAAATTTCTCTGAAGCTATATAATGGCAATTCTACACTTTCACCAGCAACTTCATTAGCAGTGCTCATATCTCCTAGCATCAGTCTATTCCGGATGTCTGTACTTCCTTGTTTGTCTGAAAGGAACACAGGGAATTTGATACAGTTTCTCCAGTTTGCAAGAACTAGAGAAAGCAAATAAAAAGGGAAGAAAATATTTCTCTTGTCTACCTCTAAACCAGTAGTACAAATAACCCCTATGCATATGAATACAAGGAAACTTGTCACAGCTGGCAGTGCAATTTCTAGGGTTTTGGTCTTTGTCATGTCACCTGCAAAAACTAATTAATGGAGAATCAACAAATTCTTTCCATTCCACAGACTATTTCTCATGCAACACCTCCTTTAGTTTAATGCTTCACAAATATAGATCGCTCTTCACTTTACCAGGAAGAGTTCAAAAACCTATCTAGGAAGATAAACATACAATTAATAGCAATAAATCATACCGCTTGATTTGTTGATCCGAATATAGAGGGTCTCCCCTCCTTGGTTATACCTCTCCATGTCAATCATCTTCCCAGTCCATATCAAGAACCTTGTGTCATCGCCATTGATGCCTTTGGTGCTCATGTTGGCATGAGCATATGCCACACAGGAGCAGTTGCTCCAGCATTCAGCCGCACACTAATCAAAGCTTCTGTTCCGGAGGAGGATGAAATGATCAGGGACCTTCATGTGTGGCAAGGTCAAGAAACCATGTCCACCACATCTTAGTGCCATCTTCTGGCGACATCCCTGTGAAAATCTGCCACTGACCCATCCTTCATCATCATTTGGCTCAAAACCATCAAGGCACTTGCATGTTGGGGCAGTTCCATTGTTGTCACAGTAACCATAAGGACCACAGTAATCATACTCATTGCACTTATGTGCAGGCTGTGTGTACAAGCTTGTCCATACTGACATGTTACTGTCCCAGCTTAGAATATTTACATTGCCTGAGTAATTTATCTCCATTCTAATCAGCAAAGACAAGCTGTCAATCGGCATGCCGATGGACATGTATACTTCATCATCGGCGCCACGATGTACCGCCATGTAAATGGTAGAATGATGGTTGTCCATGTAGCCCCCAAGAAGGACATAGCTAGTCCACACTGGGCTTCGACAGTGCGGTCTTGTGCCATTCCAGATGAACTGCTGCAGAATGCTGTTGGGGTCTGCACCATAGGAGAAGACCCCAGGGGATGGGTCCTGCAGGCCATTCCAAGAAATGAGGTGTTGTATTGGATGCATCTTGTGGCTGATCCTGAGTTTCATCCCAGGCAGAAGAGTATCAGAGGGATGGTCGAAGCTCTGCCATAGTGTGGTGTGGTTAACGTTGCCCAAGAGGATGAAGTTTCTGGTGTTTTCTAGTGTGGCTTCTGCAGAAACGGTGGTGGCAGGTGAAAGACTGATGGCAATGCTGTTGTTTGAATTCCAAAGGACACGGCCATTGGCATCAGACAGGACAAGGTTTGTGCTACTGTGCAAGGCGAGCATTGCAGACGAAAGATCACTGATTGGTGCAGCACGGTTGGCAACCCACACAACGGTGTGCTGCGGGATGTTGTTGTACCATATACCAAGGTAATAGTGTTTTTTGGTGGATTTGGATGGGGAGAAGAAGCCCAGGGCAAAGGTGCCATCATCGGACACAAGAGTGTTACCTGGGGAGAGCGGCTTGCCGGGGACAAGGCTGTTGCGGGATGCACATAGATGCATCGAGCTGAATGAACATGAAAGAAACAAAAGGATGGCATAGATGGAAACAGAACGCATTGGCATTCTCAGCATCCTAGGCAGTAAGCAGTTAGGGACCATGGAAAATGATCATGGAATCATGGAAGAGGGAGTATTAAAGGAATCTGTGGGTGAGGTTGCCTGGAGAATTGGACTAAAAGGAGCAAAAGAGTGGTTGAGTTGTCCCAAAAATAGCAGCCTCACAAGGTGCCAGTGTTTTTGCTGGAGACGCTACTAATCGTGCTGCATTACTTTTATTTTTATTCATTGACTGGTCCTCTAGATTCTAAGCTATTGGTTAAAAGACATTCAAAACACATGGCCATAATAATAGAAAGAATCGACAATAGCCACACCTTGTAGAGGCCAATTGGAATTTATGTTATGAAAGTTGTGAAATATTGGAAAGCCTACTTTATGTCCCTAAATTTTCTTCCTGTTGGTAATCTTGAAATTTCTATTAAAGGGGAAAAAACTTCTAGGAATCCAAATATGAAAAAACCCTTATCTAAACTTCAGAGTGAGCAGTTCCTTTGAGAAAAAACTAATCCTCCTAATTAATAAACTCAGGCTTCCAAATCTACTATACATTTGCATCTTGAGAGTGAAAGCGAATGGGTATATGCATACAGAAGCATTAAAGTATATGATAGTACAGCAAAACAAGTAATATTGAAAATGTAAAGTGACCAAGGGTTACATGAACGAAGCAATACAAGGAGAACTGAAGCATTGCAACTACAGGAAAGCAACCAGAGCTGACACAGCAGCCTCCGGCATGAACTCATTCAAGCCTTTTTATGCAAAGATTTCTGTTTAGGATGAGCTGATGCAGAGCTTTGTGTTCATTACTTGGCACATACCTACTGTGGCCGAGATGCCCAGAAAATTAAGTCATCATCATGACATGAAACTAACTACCCGAATCAGTTCCACCCAGAAATCTTGAGCTGACGAAAGAACATCATCATGTTGACCTACCTTGTCCCTCGTTTCAAGCTTTTGATGCGTGTATAGTTAGTAATCTGAATGCAGACCTACGTTGCCCCTTGTTTCAAGCTGTCGATGCGTGTATAGTTAGTAATCTGAATACAGACCTATGTTGCCCCTTGTTTCAAGCTTTCGATGCGTGTATAGTTAGTGATCTGAATACAGAAGTTTTCTTAGCAGAATTTAGAGTCGAGAATATGTCCTTCCAGCCCACAGGATTCGGTTCAATGACTAGCATAGTTTGTGTCCACTGAATCAGAGCGTGGGCAGTTCGAATTGTAAATGACACGGCGTTTAACTTGTGACATTCAATTTGGGACAAAAAAGTGGATAACCTATTAACCTTGTCAGGTATAGAAAAAAATGGAAGTACTACTAGTATGTTATTATACAAAAGAAGCGTACCGGTTCCTACAGTTCATCAGAACTGAGAGTGACTGGTGAGAGCTGAGGAGGCAAAACCTCAACGCCGCGATGTGATCCAGTGTTCCTGCACCTGCACCTGCAGAGAACCTCTGTAAGTGAGGGTGAGTCGTGGGAGCATCCAACCAAACCACCCTTTCTTCCACAGGATTTAATCGAGCAGGATCGATACGTCGGTTCAGTTTTTTTTTTACCTCATTTCAGCGACAGAGAGAGGGGACAGGGAGGAAGAGCCGGAGACTGCACCAGGGGGGGAGAGGTGTCGGGGTTCAGGGACGGCAGGGTGGTCGGCAGTCGGCGGCGCCGGCGCCGGCGGAAGATGCGAGAGGTCACGAGCCTGACCATGGCGGTCTCCCAGGCGCATGAGGCAGGACGGCGGCGAAGGTAGGTAGCTGGGCCGGCGTTTGCAGTTGGACCGTCCAGAGTGTTGGGCTCTACACACTAGCGATAAGGTGGGCGGAGCAACATTTCGTGGGCCAGCGTGTGGGCTCTACTAGTGATAAGATTGGTACTATATGGTAGAGCACCCTTTATTTTTTTTCTTTTATTAGTTATGTATAAAAGAAAAAATTGAAGCCTCCTACTAATAACAACTAGTCTTAAGTCGACGATCAAGACAATAAAACTTACTAGCACAAGCTCGTATTATATTATTATATATATATAAGAAAACACGTCTATGGTCCTGTCAAATGTTAGAAATGTTGTAAAACATACGAACTCTATCCTAAAAAGAAATGAGAAGGAGGAATCTTAATTCTAGCTCGTTTGTACGTGGGCTCTTACCAAACTCTTAGGCCTTGGCAGGACTATATATATACGTGGGTACTCTATGTTGTAATCACCAATATTCTGAGGAATAAAGAATAGTCTCCCTACCTTGTGTCTATTTGTTCTCTACTTTTATCTACTGTGTTGATCATGAGAGACGGAGAGGGAAATGTCCTAACCGCCGGCAACATGTTTTATAACACGTTATCAGCACGAGAATCTCTTCGTCGACATCGCCGTTGAAGCCACCGCCGACCTTCGACACCGACGCTCATGCCGTCGACATCCCTGCCGTGACTACTTCGACGACGTCGACATCCCGACGTTGTTAACGGAATAGATCTGCTACCTCTACCTGCAATTAACCTCCACTGCATCGATATGTACTATCGTCGTCAAGCAGGCAGTTCCACGACAATATCAAACATCCTATACGGTATGTATCTACTAACCACTGCCCTACGCGGCATGTGATGTAGATTAAATTAGCATCCTCTATAAGATATGAAGTGCATCTCGTAGATTGCGTTTATCCTAGCCATGGAGTTAGGCTTTTGTTACTGTCCTAATATCGTACATGTAGTACATAAGTTTGTACATGAAGTACATACTTTACGGATTGCATCTAGGGTTAAATTTAAAAGAATATATGCACTATGGTACATGGAAGATTGAGTTCATTATACGAGAAAGTGCTGCCGCAACCATCACATGAGAAAGCCTATTTTTGAATGCCAAATATTATTTTCATTAAAAGAAAATGATCTTAAAAGTAAAATATTTCTTAAAGCTCGAAGCAGAAATAGTATCACGCACTAAATCAAATAATAGTTTGACTAATGTTCTTGTGAAGCATGAAGCAGCGCATATATCAGATATTTTTGAAAATGAGAGGAGTAACTTGAAGTTACAAACCAGAAGTTATGTTTATCAGTAGTAAACTAAATATTGTATACTATCAAGCTACAATCTACTGGGACGCCTGTGGATTCTAGTTTATTGTATATTTATTAAATAAAATAAGAAAAACTTCTCCATTCTCATGAAGAGAACACCTCATGAAGAAGGGTTAAGCACCTCATGAAGAGGATCATCATAAAGATAAAATCCAACACACTAGGCGCGCATATTATTAGTGTTGGGTATACAGATCAACAAATCATCTCTTGTTTGGAAAATGACAAAGAGATAGAATAATCTCACATTGTGAGAATATTAGGAGAAAATAATAGTTGTCGACAACGCTACCTCTATAGTTGCAAATGTTTCTCTTATGAGAACCCGGATCCGAAAAATAAAGTCCATGGCAAAGTCGCCTGTAGCGATTATATCGGGTCAATGAAGAAAGCAATTGAGGTTGAATCTCCTACTTAGAAGAAATAAATGTTCTGCTATATCTCTGACAAATGAAATGAATAAATATAAAATATGCAGTTAATAAGAGGATTATGAAGATCCATATAGTTCCTGAAGAATATAAATCCCGACATATGGAAATTAAATCTCATACAAAGTATTAAGAAGTTTAAGATATAATATATTCCTGAATGAATATTGAAGTCTCAAGAAGAGCATATCCTAGAAAGGAACATTCGTCAAATGACTTTGTAGTGAATAACACTATATCATTGTGTATATCACATAATAATCTCTCATTTAGTAGAGAATATATCTCATAGAAGAGAAATGTTATTCACTAAGAATGAAAACATCCTTGAAGGATTTAATCCATGAAAGATTTACTAGTCGATTCTTAAAAAAACACCATTAATCCCTAAAGTGAATATAAACCCAAGAGAAAGAAAATGAGGAATCATACAAACACTCAGAAAGTGTATATTATAAAGCTAGCAATGAAATGTTGATATTTTCTAAATACCATAAAAGGTATAAGAATAATGGTGACTTTGACAATTGAATTATCCCCTAAATGCCAAATGTAAGACTGGATTTATTATTTAGTGGTACAATCAAAATCTCAAAGATTTGTAGAACATATAATTTAAAAATCCACTAAGGAAGAATTATTAGTATTCAAACTCTAGTATAAGTTTGATACACTATCTAGAAGATATTGAATATTAACTTATTTACCCCCATAATCTTCTGAAAAGATTTATTACTCTAAAGGATAAAATTTATTTGTTTTGCACAACTAATAAGTGGTTATTATGCATGAAGCATATTGCTCTTGTTTATACCCATATAATTCATAGAAGAATTATGAGCCAACTTTTTGAAAGATATAGTATTAGGTGATGCATACTATTAATTAAGCACACATTTATGAAAAGTATGGTTTGAACAATGAAGTTCAAATTTTGGCTATATGAGGGGAGCATATTTTTATTGAATCTACATTGAAGGTAAACCACTAGAATTACAAAGATCAAGTAGATCATATTTGTTGAAACACTAAAGTTTATGCATAGATCATGAAGATCAATATCTATTTATGAAGAATAGAATATCTTAAAGAATACATGACCAAGACGGTTAAATGTTGTACTCTTTTTCCCTACGTGAGTTTTTACTTAAAGGTTTCTCACACAAGGTTTTTAATGAGACAACATGTGCAATGCAATTAACGAATGCGATGTATTTTTTCTCCAAGAACCGTTTTTCCCACTGGGTTTTCGGATGAAGTTTTTAATGACGCATGTGCATATCATGGTAATCACCCAAGGGGGAGTGTTGTAAAACATATGGACTCTATCCTAGAAGGAAAGGAGAAGGAGAAATCTTAATACTAGTCCGTTTGTATATGGGCTCTTACCAAACTCTTAGGCCTTAGCAGGACTATATATACGTGGAAGCTCTATGTTGTAATCACCGGTATTCAAAGGAATAAAGAATAATCT